TGTTGCTCATACTTTTTGTCGTTCCTCTGTTTCTGGCGTTTTGCCTGTATTTAATAAATCCATGGTATTTCGTCTGCAGCAGCGCTGGAGGCAGCTTTTCCTTCTCCGCCATGTTTGTTTTGAAGAGTGCGCGTGCACACACGGGAGAAACCCCTTATAAGGCGTGCTCTCTCGTCATTGGATAAGCGCATAGGATGTGAGGTTTTTTTATTATATAGGTGGGAGAAGACTGGAAGGACTGAGAGATCCGTGTTTAGGTACAAACACTCTATATAAGTGATGGCTATTGGAATATATCAATATTTAAGACGTATTAACACCCAAAAATCGCTTACTGCTGCTTTAAAAATCCCCAGCTGTTGTAGAAATACGGCCGCATTTTGTGGCAATAACTGCGCATTACCTTGGCTTAGTTTTGAGAAACAACAACAGACAACACAACATCGAAGCCTTAGCCCAGCCTCAGCCATCCATAAACTCCGGTCAATTATTAGTTCCCCACATGTACAACATTAAATGACCATATCACCAGAGTTCCCCCGTGAAGTGTTGTTAGCATTAGCGTTCGCTGTTAGCATTAGCGTTAGCTGTTAGCATTAGCGTTAGCTGTTAGCATTAGCGTTAGCTGTTAGCATTAGCGTTAGCTGTTAGCATTAGCGTTAGCTGTTAGCATTAGCGTTAGCTGTTAGCATTAGCGTTAGCTGTTAGCATTAGCGTTAGCTGTTAGCATTAGCTGTCTGTAGTTGTGAATATGGTGTGGCTGCTACGAACACTTCTGATCTGTATGAATCGTTTGTTTTTGCCAATAAACATAGTTGCTTGCACTATATATATATATGTAGGTCTGCATTTCATTCTTCAATGACTAAGTTTTGCAACTTGCACTCTGTATATTAGTTTTATTGTTATAAAAACAATATCTCTTTACCTCAAATCTAACTTCCGTGACCACTACATACATTTTTATTATTATGTATTGAGAATAAGTAAGAAAAGTCTTGCTGACTACTACCAAATAAATTATGAGCATGATATAATATAGACATTGTAATAATTTACATGTCTTCATTGCATTCTTTTCTCTGTATCTTTTCCAGTATGGCCTAAATCAATTGGAATGAGGTCTTCAATGTACAAGAGTTCAAAAGCCTCCATAATGCAAGTTAAATAACTATTAAAAAAAAAACAATGCCATAACGACTAGATACTTTTCTGCTGACCTCTTCTTTCTCTAGTATTGACTGGGAAGACAAGACTTTGCTTCCAGAATTAGAAGAATGGCCATTGTCATCTCCTGAGGAAGACTTTACACCCCACATTTGTCATGTAGGTTGTTGTGAATGCATATATGGGACGCAGTGATTATGATGATTATGATGTTGTGATGTGTGTGTCGTTCATCCCTACAGTTGTGTTGCTGCCCTGAGGTCCAAAATGAATATCGATCATGTTCCAGGAGTCAGTGTTGACAAAACTGTCGCTGAGTTTCTTCAACAATCAAGAGGAGTGAGATAATCACTCGACTCCCAAAACAGCCGATGTAAGTGTCTTTTTCTCACAATGCAGTCTCTCACAGTCCAAATAAACATGTTCAAGGATCCTGTGCATCTGGGGCCACTCCTGGTGATCAATAAATACTGATGATGTTGATGATGAATATATCAAAGTCATATTTGAGTAGATGAAACTGATGTCTCCTCTATTGTGTTTCAAAGGAAAATCTCTGCCAGAGGAAGACTCCAGTTCCTTCAACCTGGGCCCCTGAAGCGTGGCTGTGTGTGCGTGTGACTGTGTGACTGTGTGGCTGTGTGTGCGTGTGACTGTGTGTGCTTGTGTGCTTGTGGCTGTGTGTGACTGTGTGTGCGTGTGACTGTGTGTGCGTGTGACTGTGTGTGCGTGTGACTGTGTGTGTGTGTGACTGTGTGGCTGTCTGTGCGTGTGGCTGTGTGTGCGTGTGGCTGTGTGCTGTGTGTGTGCTGTGACTGTGTGTGCTGTGCTGTGTTTGTGACTGTGTGCTTGTGACTGTGTGTGCTTGTGACTGTGTGTGACTGTGACTGTGTGTGCTTGTGACTGTGTGTGACTGTGTGTGACTGTGTGTGCTGTGTGACTGTGTGTGCGTGTGACTGTGTGTGCTTGTGACTGTGTGTGACTGTGTGTGCTTGTGACTGTGTGTGCGTGTGACTGTGTGTGTGTGTGACTGTGTGGCTGTCTGTGCGTGTGGCTGTGTGTGCGTGTGGCTGTGTGTGCTTGTGACTGTGTGTGCTTGTGACTGTGTGTGCTTGTGACTGTGTGTGACTGTGACTGTGTGTGCTTGTGACTGTGTGTGCTTGTGACTGTGTGTGACTGTGTGTGACTGTGTGTGCTTGTGACTGTGTGTGCGTGTGACTGTGTGTGCTTGTGACTGTGTGTGACTGTGTGTGCTTGTGACTGTGTGTGACTGTGTGTGCTTGTGACTGTGTGTGACTGTGTGTGCTTGTGACTGTGTGTGCTTGTGACTGTGTGTGCTTGTGGCTGTGTGTGTGCGTGGCTGCTTATGAATTATTTTGAGGAAATGTGTTCAAACAAGCTACAACATAAAGATTAACATTTTGTTAGATATCTCTGATAGTGTTCGCTGCAGCAGCGATGGATAAGGACCTGAATAATAACAGTGTTATTCATTTGAGCAAAAAGTGATAACACAAACGTTGCCTTACCATCACTTGTAATTATTTGTCTTAGTAGGGACATTGTGTATATTTTTCCGGCTATAACTTCAAATCTTCTTTTACATAATAAAGTTTCTTAGACTCGTTACAGACTGTATTTGTTTTCCTACTATAAAAAACAAAGCACATTGAAAGAGGTGAATGTATTTTTTTTTATTTTGAAATAGTACAACTACAAACATATTTCAGAACTGCAGAGTGGATGTGCACCATGGGGCCACTGAGGACGTGCACCATGGGGGCCGCTGAGGAAAGCACGTTTTCAATGTCTGTTGGCACCTTTCACAGACGCATCAGGGAAAGGATCTGGTCATCAGCTTCTCTGGACAGAGGGCGTTCAGTGCTTCCTGAAAGAACCGTTATGACAAATGACTTTATATATTCTGTTACTTGTAGCTTTTCTTTCAAAGTGGTGAGTTTCCTTACAGTGTAATAGTCAGTGTAACGTAATTAGTTATGACAGTACTTTTGCGTTTCGGACAAGCTTTACTGGAATTGTTTTTCAGTCCCACATCTCACTGTACAGCTCTGATACACTTTGATTTTGTCTTCATTCTCTGAACAATAAGCACATAATACAGATGTTGATTACATCAATAAATGTATCTTTATTTTGTGACATTGAGAAGGCAGCTTCCAGTGAGATGCAGCTTTACTTTCACATAATACATTACTACAGTGTTGTCTATAAAGAACTCCAAATATACAAATTGTGAGGAAAGCAGTAATGTATTACTTTAAATAACCTTCATGTAAAGCTTTGTTGTTGTAATGTATATGCATTACATTCATCTAATACATATGCACTGTAAGAGATGTTACAGTGCATAATGTTGAGACACGTCACACTGTAATCTGCAACATTATGTTTATCACAACAGTTATCAGTGTACCAACTATAAAAGCAGTATTATTCTATAAAAGACTGGATTGTTTTTATTTCTTTCTTAGTGATGCTATCCTAGCTAACACCAAGCTGCTTCCAGTGTTATAGCTAGGTTACAACTGAGCTATTCTATGCTAATATTTCACTCCCAGAGTTTGTTGTTAATATACTTACGAGTAGACCTGACGGAGATGAACATGCTGCTGCCATCACCAAGACGATGCGCGTTCATGTGGTGTGACGTAGGGACGGGGGCGGGGCTACTAACTCGCTCAGGCAGAAGAAACTGCCGGAAACGACCAAATCGCTTACTGCTGCTTTAACTATGAACCGTTTTTACTCATGTAGTTTTAGAGGACTACAAACATGGCGGATCAGAAATACGCATTGCCATGGTAACCGTTGTTAGGTTTCCGAGTGGATTTTAGCGGCGACAGAATGGACTAACCTGATGAACTCCAAACCGTTGTTTTCATGATCCCACTCCCAGCGACCGGTACTCATGGTTATAACTGTGTTCTGTCCGGTGTTTGTGGTCCACTGGGAGGAGGAAAACACGGGAAACACACTCTTCTCCGAGCTGCGGGCTTCTCACTTCCGGTTAGCCGTATCCAAGCAACAGCCAATGAGAACAAAGCTATTGTAAATGGACACGTGCATAAATCATGGATCTATTTTTGCTAATGCGTGTGAAAGTCGCAGTTAGCAGCCTTTAGCAAAAACGATAATACTAAAAAATAGAATAGTACAACAGCATATGGTTTGTGTTTGAGTGAAGTGGCTTTTTAGCTAACACACGAAAAAAAAGCCCTGTATTAGAATGTAGAGAGATGGACAATGCTAACCCACACAAGCTAACTAGCGTACCTCAATCCTGGAGGTAGGTTCCCGTGCCAAAATAGTAGAAAAAAAAGCCTATAATTTGACTTATGCTACGAAAAAGGTATGGTTTAAATATGGAAGTGTTTATTTGTTATTTAATGTCAATTGTATTTTGAAAAATTCAAATACATGACATTTGCACAACAATAAAAATAATATATGTGGCAATTCATCAGCTATTCATCATATTATCTATTTCTGTATTGCTTAACTTTGAACAATTTTTGCTCATGTAGAGTTAGAGGACTTAGGAAACTGTTGCACAAAAAATAAAAAGAATACATGATTTAAAACTATGATCATTAAAATGCAAGAATTCTTTTTTTTTTAAATGTCTAAAACAAGCATGTCCAAACTAAGTCTGGTAAACTACAGAGGCCCCCTTCTTAAAAAGATTGGACACCCCTGATCTAAACGGTTTATACAACTTATTTAATCCTTATTTAGTGATTATTGTATCTGACAGTTAACAAGGGAAGATACACATTCATTATTTTGTGTAATAAAATATAAAAATCTCTACATTAGCTTTTATTGCACACTAAGAGATGTATTTTCTCCATGAGGTAATCCATGCCCCAGCTTTTAAAGTCCTCTGTTAAAGCGTCCTCTTTCTGCAGCTCCTGGATGTCACACACGGAGCCTGAAAACACACGGTGCAGATAGAAACACAAATATTCCAACAAACAGTAGTTTTTAACACTCACCAAACAGACTGTGCACTTGTTCATCAGGGACAAAGAACGGAGGACCTAAACAGTGATCGGTGAATGTTAAAAAAAGTGGATGACAATGTTGATGTGTGTGACCAAATAGAGTCAGGGATTTGGTGAACTGTAAGATGCAATGCTAAAACTGTTAGTGTGCCCGTTTAACCCTGATCCAGTTGAAAGTTCTATTCAGATGCCATTATTCCAAAACAAGGCTAGCGCACATTTTTCCAAACACAATAGACATTTGTGATAGACGTGGTGGTTCACCCTTTAATCTCGTATATATGTTTATTTCATGCCCTGCTCTCGGGTCATATTGGCAAACCTATTTTCACACTACGTCCAAAGTGCTTTCAAAAAAACATAGATGTTTCTTCTCATGTGGCAATTTTTGGTCTCCCTGATAATTACTCTAACTTCTCACCTACACAGATACAGATCCTAGCATTCACCTCTCATTGCAAGGCGTCATCTTCTCATGAACTGGAAGTCAACAAATGCATCATCCAGCACGCAATGGATGCAGGAAGTTATGTCTTTTTTGAAAATTTATTGACTTTTTTGCTAAACATTAACCCTCCAACTGTTTTTATCTTTTCTGCTTTTGTTTATTATTGCATAAGTTTTTTTGTATTATTATTCTCTGTTTAATTTGTTTAGCTGTTCACTGCTTTTAATTTTGTAAAAAATAGAATGATGTGTTTAGCCGACTTGACCCTGTACGATTGTTGACATTTTGCACATCAATAAAAATATAGGAAGCAAAAAAAAAAACTTAGTGTTTTAATTTGAGCACTGACTAATATCTCAATTGTTTGACAGTCTAATCTGCTAAAGCATTTGAAAAATAAACAAATGTATGGATCTGATTGTCTTGAGAACTAGTTTTAGGGAGTTTACAATGTTCTGTTATTGTCGTTTGAGATACCCCAGCTTTAAATATAACAGTAAGTAAGTAAGTTTTTATTTATATACCGCCTTTTCACTGCAGATCTAAATCTCAAAGCCGTTTACAATTGTTAATTTTGGGCATTTGTCTCTCACTCCACACAGAGATGGGAGCGGGGTCACCAGTACAGGAGGCGCATGCCAGAACTATTGGACATATTTTTAGTGGTAGGGGAAACCGGAGTACCCGGAGGAAACCTACGCAGACACGGGGAGAACATGCAAACTCCACTCAGAAAGGCCCTGGTCCAACCGGGATTCGAACCCAGGACCTTCTTGCTGAGAGGCAAGAGTGCTATCCACTCTGCCCGGTGGTTAGACAAGAATGGGAAATGCACCGGAATATTTCTCAGGATTGTAGATCAGAGTGTCCAGGAGGAATCTGCAGTCTGGAGCCATCAGAGAGGTCAGCAGAGCAGCATATCTGGAGGAAAAAACACTAGTTAAAGTGGACATATCGTGTTTTCAAATAATTGATTTTTACATCTAAATCATTAATTTGTGGCCTATATAAAGCGTAACGCCAATGCCTGGGTCTGAGTCTCATTATTTGTAGTTCCACGGGCCTTTCTTCTACACCTGTTCTGAGGTGCGTCTGAGAGCAACCTGTTTTGGTGCTGTCTCTTTAAATGCAAATGAGGCGCCCATTCAGGGACACAGGTTCAACTCCACCCCGAGCGGCCATTTTTGTAGTTTCTAAGCACAGATACAATTATCTCATAGAAACTTCTCATTACATCGCAAACATGAAGCAGTCCTTCCACATTGACTGAAAGCAAATGTTAATTTTCATTCTTAGTCCAGTCTAAAATCGACTCTTCTCTTTTTAGCTTTGGGATCCATGCGCACAGTCTATGATGCTCACACGCCGGTTTGTTTACAACAGCGGCCGCCTGGCACGGGCCTACGTCGCAGGATATGACACACTACGTTGACAGAAATGTTTAAATAGAATATTACTTATGCATAATTTTACAGCATTTAAAAACTTTAAGAACGTTTTTCCTTCTACAGAAGGAAAGAGACGCATGCACCTCCGGAGCCGCAGGTTGCCGACTCCTGGTTTATACAGTATGTGGAAGCAAATACTGTAGAGGATCAGGATATGTGCAGTTTTAACAATAAAATAAAATGCAATAGTCTACATTAAAGAGAGTAATAAACATGTCTCAGAGTGAAGGAGGTGGACACAGACAACACTATTGTTTGTTACAGGGATGAGAAGTGGTCAAAAAAGACTGAAATGCATATTGTCAGCCATTTGCTGGCTCTAAATCTGTTTAATTTGTTCACAACATATTACTTTTGGGCTCAAACATGAACTTTTAATGCAATGCAAAATGTAGGTATCAGAGCTTTATTTAGGGCGTTTAATCGCGCTTCGAGAGGAGAGGGGAGAAGCGGACTGTTTCCTGCAGCAGTGTATTTATTGGGTGCACAGATTACTCAAAGACACGCATGGTCCTGTGCGCGTTTATGGGGTTGGGTACATGGCCAGGTTGAGACTGCGCGCTCAGCCGCAACACGGTGGAGCGGCTGCGAGCGGCTGGACGCTCACAGCCTCTCGCAGCCGCTGGACGCGGAAGCTGCTCATTACAAAGCGGCCGCAGATGCCCCGGAACACTGCGGCCGCTGAGGTGGCGGAATCCCGTTCGAGTACATACAGCAGGTGCCCCGCGGATACGCGCGCCCCGCTCGAACAATTCTCAACGAATTTACACTTCTCATAAACATGTGTTTTGTATGAGGCAGACAGACCGGCCCAAATATGGGCATCAGCCCTTTGGGCATTGCCCGGTACGCCCGATGGCCAGTCCAGCCCTGTTCCTTGAGCTTGGACTACAAATTCGAAGTGATGCACAGTAGAGGAGGGCTGGGCCGAAGTGTTTTGTTAGACGCCCATGCCCTTATATAGCAGTCTCGCTGCAAATACTGTGACGTAATAATTCTAAACACGTAATAGAGAACGGCAAAATCAGAACGGGTTGAAAAATCTTACCCAAACAGAATATGAAGTGTTCTCTGCAACCCATGAAGAGACTGATTTCAACTTTTTTGCACTTCTAGAGGCTCCAACTTCACAACATAAGGCATTTAAGGCACAAAAAGTGGATTTTTCATGATATGTCCCCTTTAAAACATTAACAAATCAATGTATAATAATTATTCTAGTTGTGGCTTCATTGTGACTGTGGAATTAGCTCTGAGTTTATATGAGCGGTAGACAATCATCACAAGTTAGATAGCTGTTAAAAACACACTCGTAAATGACAAAACAATACTTTTCTCTGTCTTTTGGGTTGATGGCAACGAGAGCGCCTCTGTCCCAGATGGCTCCAAACTGACCCTCCAGAGAACTGAGAAGACAAGGGGCAAGGAAATAAGAGAGAAAGCCAAAATTTACAGTCGTGCTTTGTTATTATCAATATAAAGTCATTGTACAATAACTGTAATGACGACAACAGAAACCCCAGACCCTGATTTAAAGTCTCCATCCCCCAGTGTATTTCCCCTTTAACGTCTACAACAGCTTGAAGTGTTTTAGTTGTGGATCAGGTTCTCTCTCCTCTCCAATGACAAAGCTGCAAAATCTTCTTGGCAAAAAGTCTCAAGATCCTGTAAATTCCGGGGCCGCCTGGCATGAACTACCCAGTTGTCCTCTCCGCAGCTCGGCTCAATTATGTAATAATTTGAAATATGAAAAGACATTTACAGTGAAACGTTCAAAAGTTCATTTATTTGTGTAAATTCAGTTAAAATGTGAAACCAGTGAACAGCAAAGTGACATCTGCCTCTGTTGAAGCTCTCAGTCCATTCTCAGAAAGACACACATTTCCTGGAATGTTTTATTGGGTTTTTCACAAGCTGCGCGCCATATAACAGTTTCACATACAGTGCCTTGCGAAAGTATTCGGCCCCCTTGAACCTTTCAACATTTCACCACATTTCAGGCTTCAAACATAAAGATATAAAAATTTAATTTTTTGTCAAGAATCAACAACAAGTGGGACACAATTGTGAAGTGGAACGAAATTTATTGGATAATTTAAACTTTTTTAACAAATAAAAAACTGAAAAGTGGGCCGTGCAATATTATTCGGCCCCCTTGCGCTAATACTTTGTAGCGCCACCTTTTGCTGCAATTACAGCTGCAAGTCGCTTGGGGTATGTGTCTATCAGTTTTGCACATCGAGAGACTGGAATACTTGCCCATTCTTCCTTGCAAAACAGCTCGAGCTCAGTGAGGTTGGATGGAGAGCGTTTGTGAACAGCAGTCTTCAGGTCTTTCCACAGATTCTCGATTGGATTCAGGTCTGGACTTTGACTTGGCCATTCTAACACCTGGATACGTCTATTTGTGAACCATTCCATTGTAGATTTGGCTTTATGTTTTGGATCATTGTTCTGTTGGAAGATAAATCTCCGTCCCAGTCTCAGGTCTTTTGCAGACTCCAACAGGTTTTCTTCCAGAATGGTCCTGTATTTGGCTCCATCCATCTTCCCATCAATTTTAGCCATCTTCCCTGTCCCTGCTGAAGAAAAGCAGGCCCAAAGCATGATGCTGCCACCACCATGTTTGACAGTGGGGATGGTGTGTTCAGGGTGATGAGCTGTGTTGCTTTTACGCCAAACATATCGTTTTGCATTGTGGCCAAAAAGTTCGATTTTGGTTTCATCTGACCAGAGCACCTTCTTCCACATGTTTGGTGTGTCTCCCAGGTGGCTTGTGGCAAACTTTAAACGAGACTTTTTATGGATATATTTGAGAAATTGCTTTCTTCTTGCCACTCTTCCATAAAGGCCAGATTTGTGCAGTGCACGACTGATTGTTGTCCTATGGACAGACTCTCCCACCTCAGCTGTAGTTATCTGCAGTTCATCCAGAGTGATCATGGGCCTCTTGGCTGCATCTCTGATCAGTCTTCTCCTTGTTTGAGATGAAAGTTTGGAGGGACAACCGGGTCTTGGTAGATTTGCAGTGGTCTGATACTCCTTCCATTTCAATATAATTGCTTGCACAGTGCTCCTTGAGATGTTTAAAGCTTGGGAAATCTTTTTGTATCCAAATACGGCTTTAAACTTCTCCACAACAGTATCTCGGACCTGCCTGGTGTGTTCCTTTGTCTTCATGGTTCTCTCTGCGCTTTAAACAGAACCCTGAGACTATCAAAGAGCAGGTACATTTATACGGAGACTTGATTACACACAGGTGCATTCTATTTATCATCATCAGTCATTTAGGACAACATTGGATCATTCAAAGATCCTCACTGAACTTCTGGACTGAGTTTGCTGCACTGAAAGTAAAGGGGCCGAATAATATTGCACGCCCCACTTTTCAGTTTTTTATTTGTTAAAAAAATTCGTTCCACTTCACGATTGTGTCCCACCTGTTGTTGATTCATGACAAAAAATTAAAATTTTATATCTTTATGTTTGAAGCCCCACCTCTCCACCGACTGATGACTGCTGCCGTTATGTCCTTGGGCAAGACACTTAACCCCACTTTGCCCAAAGCCCCCACTGAAAGATCAAGGCTATGCTCACAGTCAGAGAGCAGCCGTCCTCCTGTGGACTCACCACCTGCAGAGGGTCAGTGAGGGGCTGGTGCTATGAGACTTGGGTGGCATCTCTGACTGCCACCCCCCTGACCCAGAAATGGATTAAAGGGTAGAAAATGGATGGATGGATGGATGGATGTTTGAAGCCTGAAATGTGGCAAAATGTTGAAAGGTTCAAGGGGGCCGAATACTTTCGCAAGGCACTGTAGTAAAGTTGAGTCACAAGAATGGACTAATGGACAATATCCACCAAAAAGTGGATTCTTTTTGGTTTTTTTTGGTTAAGGATATAGAAAGTATGGCCCAAACTACAGTATAAAACCACTGTGATTTTAATAAATAAGTATTATTTATTAATACAGTAGCGACAGTAGCTCAGCTGGTAGAGCACTGGCCTTTGAGCCTGAAGGTCGTGGGTTCAAGCCCACCACAGGACCTTCTCCACCGACTCCCACTGATGACTGCTGTCGTTGTGTCCTTGGGCAAGACACTTAACCCTGCATTGCCTGAAGCCCCCGCTGAAAAATCAAGGCCGTATTGTCACTGACAGAGCAGCCGTCCTCTTGTGGACTCACCACCTGCGGAGGATTAGTGAGGGGCTGGTGCTAAGTGAATTGGGTGCAGCTCTGACTGCCACCCCCCCAACCCAGAAATGGATTAAGGGGAAGAAGATAGATGGATGGATGGATGGAGTATTATTATTATTATTATCATGTATTTGCCCATTCAGGGAATCTCACTGCTTAATGTCTGTTGTGTGTACTTTGTGCGCTTGTATAAAATATTCATTTTAAGACGATTTTTAGACGATTTTCTTTTTTTACTCTACGCTTGTTTGCACCTTGGGTCAAAGCAAATTCCTAGTTTGTGTCTTCCTGTTACCGAGGCACACTCAGTGCAAGAAGCAGCACTACTGCAGGGCCTTTATCCGCACCGCTGTCAGACTGTACAATAAGTCACTTTGAGTCACTGATGCACTAGGACTGAAAAAACCTGCGTTATTATTGACACTTTTTATCATACGTACATAATTATATCCTGCACAGACTATATTTTAACCTTCAACATGTTGCACACTTCTGTCTTTTGCAAAACCTGAGTGATTCTATCTGTGCCAAATGTGACGTGTGCATTTCTCCAGTGTGAGATCAACAAAGTCTGTCTTATCTTATTTTATCTTACTTACAAGGAAAATAAAAATGATTCTGATTCTGATTTATCAAAGCAAAAAAACCATTGAATTATAATTGTAGAGCAAACGTGCTTACTCCTAAATAGTAACACTACCATTAAATCCTGTCGTCAGGTTCAGAGCAGAACGTTAACATCAGAAAGTCTGATACAAATGTTGTTTTTGTAAAGTTATGTTCACCTGTTGAAGCTGTAGATGTTGCACTGATAGAGCGTGACTGTCTTCTCCGTGTTCTGGAAATAAACGTCTGTATCAGCAACTGGCACAGTTGGCACAGGTCCAACAGCGATAGGTGATTAATAATCATAATCATAATAATAATAATAATAAGTTCATTATTGATGGCGTACCCTGAAAACCTTTGCTCCTGGGATGGTCGGCACAGAGTCCTCGGTGAAGCTCATGTGGTTTTCCTCAAAAAACTGTCGACAGGCTTTTTCTGCAAACTCCACTCCCACCACAGAGTGACCCGCGTCTGCCAGCCTGAGGTCAGGGGTCAGAGGTCAGGGGCAGAGAGGGCAGGGGGCAGAGGTCAGGGGTCAGAGGTCAGAGCATATGGAAGAGCAGGGGTCAGGGGGAGAGAGGGCAGGGGACAGAGAAGGCAGGGGTCGGAGGTCAGGGGCAGAGAGGGCAGGGGTCAGAGGTCAGGGGCAGAGAGGGCAGGGGCCAAAGGGCAGGGGCAGAGAGGGCAGGGGTCAAAGGGCAGGGGCAGAGATGGCAGGGGTCAAAGGGCAGGGGCAGAGAGGGCAGGGGTAGAGAGGGCAGGGGTCAAAGGGCAGGGACAGAGGGCAGGGACAGAGGGCAGGGGTCAGAGGGTAGGGGTAGAGAGGGCAGGGGTCAGAGGGTAGGGGTAGAGAGGGCAGGAGTCAGAGGTCAGAGGTATGCCAGAGCAGTCATCAGAGGTCAGGGGTCGGAGAGAGCGGGGGTCAGAGGTCAGGGCATGAGAGAAGACAGTGGGTTTATTTCCTTTATCATAATGTCAAAGTCTTGTGCAGTATTTACAGCAGACGACACACGACGTTCTCACCATTTCATATCCACAGCTTTTCCACAAAGAGGGAAGAAAAACCTGACTCCAGTTCGACCTGCGACGACTTTGTCAATGTTGATCTCGAGCAGCCTGAGGAATAAACATTCTTATAGTTATAACTAACAAGGATATGGACTTAGATAGATGGATAGATGGGCGGACGGACGGATGGGCAGACGGGCAGACAGACACAGAGAGACAGACAGAGAGACAGACAGACACAGAGAGACAGACAGACAGACAGACAGACACAGAGAGACAGACAGACACAGAGAGACAGACAGACAGACAGACAGACAGACAGACACAGAGAGACAGACAGACACAGAGAGACAGACAGACAGACACAGAGAGACAGACAGACACAGAGAGACAGACAGACAGACAGACAGACAGACACAGAGAGACAGAGAGAGACAGACAGACAGACAGACAGACACAGAGAGACAGACAGACACAGAGAGACAGACAGAGACAGACAGACACAGAGAGACAGACAGACACAGAGAGACAGACAGACAGACACAGAGAGACAGACACAGAGAGACAGAGAGACAGACACAGAGAGACAGACACAGAGAGACAGACAGACAGACACAGAGAGACAGACAGACAGACAGACACAGAGAGACAGACAGACAGACACAGAGAGACAGACAGACACAGAGAGACAGAGAGACAGACACAGAGAGACAGACAGACAGACAGACAGACACAGAGAGACAGACAGACAGACAGACAGACACAGAGAGACAGACACAGAGAGACAGACAGAGAGACAGACACAGAGAGACAGACAGACAGACAGACACAGAGAGACAGACAGACAGACAGACACAGAGAGACAGACAGACAGACAGACAGACAGACAGACAGACACAGAGACACAGACAGACAGACAGGACACTCATATAGTGGGTACAGTAGTAGTACAGTCCGTATACAGTAGGTACCTGTTGACTGTGGTCTGGTGGAAGCCGGGCCGTCCTCGCTGCCACATCCTGTCCCAGTCTGTCAGAGCCATGACCTTGTTCTGCTGAGCGGCCAACATCACACTGACTCACACAACACAAAACACACATTTCACACTAATGTTACAGCAAAAACATATGGATTCCACAAAGACAGCACCAAAACCTAAACCTTGTGTTTATACTTTCTTTCTTCATTAAGCTAAAGATATGTTGTTTAATTTTAGCCTTAGGGTTAAAGTATAGCTATGTCCTCTACTTGATATTCACTTATCTTCTGTTATGTTCTCCTCATTCTACTGAATGAGGAGAACATCTGAAACGTGTGGGACACAGAAAGGATCTCTTCATCAAAAGGTTAGTGCTGGAACTCAGCAAAAACATGTTATCAGTAAAAGGCTAATACTAACACACACACACACACACACAAACATTTATCTCACAAAAATTTGGCAAAAGAAAGCAAAAGGCTTGCTTCAGCTGCACCCCAGTTTCTTTATTTATGTGTGTATTTTATGTGTGTGTATAACTGTATGTGTGCGTGTGTATGTGTGTGGTTGAGCATGTATGTGCGTGTATGTATGTGTGTATGCGTGAATGTGACTGTCTGTGTGTGTGTGTATTAGGGTGTACGTGTGCTATATATCAATTGAAAGTAAAAATCTGTATAAAAACAGATTACTCCAGGTAAATTAGTGATTGCACATCTGTGACTAACGGTGATTTTAATAAACTAAACTAAAGTAAACATAGAGGCACTTCCACAAAAAAAGAGAACAAAAACGTACTTCATGCCTTCATGGGGAAAGTGTGAAAGCAGCAGTGGAGTTGCGTACCTCGGAGCTGTAGGAATCCCCTGGAGCCGGATGAAAACACTCTGCTGCTGCTTCACCTTCTTCAACTTCTGAACTGTGTCTCTCTCTCTCTGTCTAACAGGAGGAAGTGCAGTCACGATGACACAGGAGTTTGTGTCTGTGGCCACTCCCTGCTCTGTTTCTACAACTGTACACGCCACAGACATGAGACACCAGAGAGAGAGAGGCGGGTCAAAGGGAAATCCCTGGCAGCGCAGCTATAAACAAGTACAACAAGAACACGGAGGAGAAAATACATGTCTTTTAAGAGAATACACTTTAAAGCAGCTAGTACTCTGAGGAGCACAGGGACTGGCCTCCTGCTGGGACTCTGAGGAGCACAGGGACTGGCCTTCTGCTGGGACTCTGAGGAGCACAGGGAATGGCCTCCTGCTGTGACTCTGAGGAGCACAGGGACTGGCCTCCTGCTGGGACTCTGAGGAGCACAGGGACTGGCCTCCTGCTGGGACTCTGAGGAGCACAGGGAATGGCCTCCTGCTGGGACTCTGAGGAGCATAGGGACTGGCCTCCTGCTGGGACTCTGAAGAGCACAGGGACTGGCCTCCTGCTGGGACTCTGAGGAGCATAGGGACTGGCCTCCTGCTGGGACTCTGAGGAGCACAGGGACTGGCCTCCTGCAAATGGCGAACATGCAGAACTGCAGCCTCTCCTCTCACTGGTAAAAAAAACCTGTGCCCAAAACGCCCCTATGCTGCGCCCTCCCCCCATAGCCCTATTTAATTAAATGAGCAACAATTAACCAAAAATTATCTTAGCAAACTTAGCAAAATAACTAACTAAAGTAGATCATCAGTAGAATAGACACATAAATGAAAATAAATAAATAGACAAATAGCTCCAACATCTAGGTTAAAAACTGTGCATATGACTGTTAATGCCTTGTGTGACTGTTTCTATCTTGCTCCGTTTAGATTTTCGAGTTGGTTTGTGTATATGTACTGTGCTATACAAAAAAACTTGCCTGTAAAAGCCTTATCTATATGTATAATCCTAACCCACGTAGACATGGAGCTCGCCTCACCAGCTCTGACTTTGTAACTATAGTTTTCAGGATCATATACTTCTAACAGCACACATAGAACATAGAACTTCTCAAAATCATCTTGAATGTGACAAAAGTAGGACGACACATTGAGAACACAAATTTATTTATTTTTTTAAAACCAACATGTGCACTTTCTCCGTGAGGGAGTCCAGGCCCCAGTTTTTTGCTCGTTCGTTCAAAGCATCAGCCTCCTGCACCAGCTCGATGTCACAGCTGGGCCCTGCAAGAGATCCAAGTCTTTAGTGAAGGTTTTATACTGACTTTGAAATGATAACGATCAGGTTTGAGCACTTACCGAACAGAGCCAAGAGCTGCTCATCGGGGACAAAAAATGGAGGACCTAAAGAGACATGTTTGTTCAGGGTTTAGACACATCTTTAAAGTTCAAAGAAGCAACAAGTACACAATACAATACAATACAATACAATGTATTCTTGTATAGCCCTAGGTCACAACAGAAGTCATCTCAGAGACTTAACAAAACCATTGAAATCACCAACACAGGTCAGAGAATCAACAGTTAAAACACATGAAGAATATAAAGCACACACAGAAGAAAATGTCCATACATGTTGTAGAATGCTAAAGTGTCCTGATCATCACCAATCCTTTCTGTTGGACACTAACTGTCCAACAAGACCCTCCTGCATCGACAAGGAAAAACTCTTAAAAAACCCAGTGGGAAAAAGTGAGAAACCTTGGGGAGAACTAGGGAAACCCACAGGGAGGGAGACCCATTTGAGAAAGGGATCCGCTCCTCCGGACGGACAGGCTAATGATCTAGGACCTAAGCTAGCTACAGAAAGTAGTAAGTAATTATTTATATACCGCCTTTTCACTGCAGAGCTGAGTCTCAAAGCGGTTTACAATTGTTATTTTTTTTGTTTTTTTTGGGCATTTGTCTCTCACTCCACACAGAGATGGGAGCGGGGGCCAGTACAGGAGGCGCATGCCAGAACTATTTTACATATTTTTAGCGGTAGGGGAAACCGGAGTACCCGGAGGAAACCTACGCAGACACGGGGAGAACATGCAAACTCCACTCAGAAAGGCCCTGGTCCGACCGGGATTCGAACCCAGGACCTTCTTGCTGAGAGGCGAGAGTGCTATCCACTCAGCCACCGTGCCGCCCAGAACTATTATCACCAGCTCCTGTTTAAACTGAGGAACCATCACAGACTGTGGGAGTGGAAGGACCGAGGGCACCATGGAGGATCCAGAAGAAGCCGCTTTGAACATAAGTTATCTGGAGCCAATTTCCTTATATGGGCATATGTTCCGAGAGACATGACATGAAATGACAATATCAATTTATAGACACCAAGATCATAGAGAGCGCTAACCAGGTGTTTCTTAAGCCCAAAACGGTGAGTGAATAAGAGTTTACTTTTCAATGCCACTCAATTAGAGCCAGAGCCAGTTGGAGCAAAACTTCATCCATGAGCACTTCCCTATTGAGCTTCATTGAGCTAGTGGGTTGGCATTGTGATTGTCCATTGATATACAATCTATGAGAACCACACAGTCCACAGATACAAGCGAGTGTAAATGTAACCAGATGATTTTAGTTGTTAATGCAGTTACGTGGAGTGTCCAGCAGGGGGAGACGCTCTTGAGCTTCACCTAGGCTACGTCTTTCCTCATTCATAAACCAGCAAGGCTTGAGGAAAGACGTGTCCTGGTCTTATTTTTATTTTATCCCCTTTTCAGGTATGGTATGATATGCAGAATGTCATAAACCAGTCATTATTGTTTTATATTGAGTCAATGTATCTGTGAACCGAATCCAGTGTGATAATTTAGTCTAGCAGGCTGTTGTTTCAAGGAGCTCCGCTAGTTGCTAACCAAATTAGCCTTAGCTTCTCGTTGCTAGCGCGGGAACAGTGGAAATCGTTGAATGTTAATTTAAATGTGTTCAAATGTAAGAAAGATTGTTTTTCTCATTCATAAACCAGCAAGGCTTGAGGAAAGACGTGTCCTGGTCTTATTTTTATTTTATCCCCTTTTCAGGGCTATTACATAAACGCATGTAAACTCTGGTCCATGGTCATTTCCTACATGTACGTCTGGTCTTACCATGTGTAAACTCTGGTCCATGGTCATTTCCTACATGTACGTCTGGTCTTACCATGTGTAAACTCTGGTCCATGGTCATTTCCTACATGTACGTCTGGTCTTACCATGTGTAAACTCTGGTCCATGGTCATTTCCTACATGTACGTCTGGTCTTACCATGTGTAAACCATGATCATTTCCTACATGTACTCTGGTCTTACCATGTGTAAACTCTGGTCCATGATCATCTCCTACATGTACGTCTGGTCTTACCATGTGTAAACTCTGGTCCATGATCATTTCCTACATGTACGTCTGGTCTTACCATGTGTAAACTCTGGTCCATGATCATTTCCTACATGTACGTCTCCTTACATGTGTAAACTCTGGTCCATGTACATTACGTCTGGTCTTACCATGTGTAAACTCTGGTCCATGATCATTCCTACATGTACGTCTGGTCTTACCATGTGTAAACTCTGGTCCATGATCATTTCCTACATGTACGTCTGGTCTTACCATGTGTAAACTCTGGTCCATGGTCATTTCCTACATGTACGTCTGGTCTTACCATGTGTAAACTCTGGTCCATGATCATTTCCTACATGTACGTCTGGTCTTACCATGTGTAAACTCTGGTCCATGGTCATTTCCTACATGTACGTCTGGTCTTACCATGTGTAAACTCTGGTCCATGGTCATTTCCTACATGTACGTCTGGTCTTACCATGTGTAAACTCTGGTCCATGGTCATTTCCTACATGTACGTCTGGTCTTACCATGTGTAAACTCTGGTCCATGGTCATTTCCTACATGTACGTCTGGGTCTGATCCTAGTGGCTGCAGTTTCCTCGGTTAAATACCCTCCGACCAATCAGAGAGCGAGGGGAATTTACGCTAAATTTGCTGGTTGTAGTTTGGCCGCAAATGCGATAGTAAAATAATGTGTTCTGGTTCAGCTCCAAACATAAGACGATTGAAGCCGGAGCGAGAGGAATGTTTGGCAAATGTCATTGCTGCAAAGATGTTGTGGCTCTACTCCCCACGGGCTCCGTTAGCGGCAAAGGAGATGGCTAAAGCTAGGCTAAATGCTAAAGCTAGGCTAAATGCTAAAGCTAGACTAAATGCTAAATGCCTCACTCATTCAGGCTCATTACATACGTCACAGTAAACTCAGATCCAATCTTTTCAATCTGCAAAAGGAGTTAGCCCCTCCCACCTGTAAACGGAGCTCAATGGAGCAAATCCAGACCTTAGTACAAATGAAATGAGTACAGTGGTGTGACCAGGTTAGGATGGTATGGAAGACTATTGGCACCTTAATTCAATTGTCTATTCATTTGTCAAATGGCTATGCATTATGTTATTTTAGTATTTATTTTGTATTTGTACAAAAGTGTAATGTTATATCCAATTTTGACATTTAATGTTCTATTCCAAAAGCAATTCAATGTGTAAAGTGTCAATGAAATGTCTTTACATATGGCAAATTACAAGATTTTGAAATGAATAGCATATTGACATGGAAATTTGGCCTCTTTATTCATTGTTCTATTCATTCTTAACGTGGCATTTAGTTTAGAGTTGTATTTGGCAAAATTGCATGTTATATCCTATTTTGACTTGTATTCCACATTTGAGTATGTTAAGTTTCATTTAATGTGTCCCTCTGGATTGCATTGCATATTGCATATTGCATATTGCATTGCCACATGGTTTGAGTGCAATTTAATTCAATATGCTATGCAGTTCTTGACCCCTGGGAAGACGGGCCCTGGTCCGCTCTCGGCCAATCAGAGACGAGTCTATATCCTCCTAGCTAGATGCGCTGTGTTGTTGATTTTTGCTGGAAGTAAATGCTGTTATGACGAATTGGAAGTAACAGATCACCCTTCATGAAGATTCCAAGTTACTCAAAGGAGGTTCTATGTAAGTAGAACCTCCTTTTCTGTTATCTGTTACTTCCAATCCGTCATAACAGCGTTTACTTCCAGCAAAAATCAACAACACAGCGGGGCGACAGTAGCTCAGTTGGTAGAGCATTGGCCTTAAGGCCTGAAGGTCGTGGGTTCAATTCCCACCTCTGCACCTTCTCCACCGACTCCCACTGATGACTGCTGTCGTTGTGTCCTTGGGCAAGACACTCAACCCCACTTTGCCCAAAAGCCCCCGCTGAAAGATCAAGGCTATGCTCACACTCAGAGAGCAGCCGTCCTCCTGTGGACTCACCACCTGCAGAGGGTCAGTGAGGGGCTGGTGCTATGAGACTTGGGTGGCATCTCTGACTGCCACCCCCCTGACCCAGAAATGGATTAAAGGGTAGAAAATGGATGGATGGATATTATTTTTGCCCTTCTGCTTTTGGGTCCTTCCTTGTTTATCCAGTTGGTCTCTTTCAGTCATTGTTTCTGTGTGAACGCTTCCAGAGAGACCTGTGTGGTTCTTCTCACAAAAAACCGGAACTGGGAGAATAATCAAACCGATAAAAAGTTGCGCGTTCACCTTGATAGAGTTGTGGATTGTAGAGCAGAGTGTCCAGGAGGTATCTGCAGTCAGGAGCCATCAGCGACACCATCAGAGCGGCGTATCTGAGTCACAGAGAGTTACACAGCTCAGATTATTATGAGGCCACTGAAAACATGACGCCCCACATTATACAACACATATTTAAAGGAGCAATATGTAAGATTTTCACGTCAAGTCACGATTAAAAAGCCTGTCACAAGGCATTAATAAAACCTGCTCTTTTCCAACACTTCTTTAACTGATAACAGTAGTTCAGAGATATTTGTATTTCTAAATTAGTTTTACAGCCCCTAAATCTAAAAAAATAAAAAAATAAAAAGAATGTCCCGCCCTCCACCGTTTCACCAATCAGAAGGTCTGTGATCAGGGCGCCAGAACTCACCGTGTGGAGCTAATCTCACTGGTAAAGTACCATGTGGCGCAGAACTAAAAAAGGTCTCGTTATGATTCTCAAATCATTCATTAACGACAAAACAAGGAATAAAACCAGGATTTCTATCTTTGTGAAAAAGGTGTTGGTTATAGATTTGTTGTTGATAAAACTCTTGTCTATTCAGCTGTTATGGTCCCAGCTGGATTCGTCTGCATATCTGGCAACCTGAGTCAGGGAGAGTGGGAGAGGCTGCAGTACCACTTTTGGCCAGATTTGTACGTACTGCTCCTTTAAGAGTAAGTAAGTAAGTAAGCTTTATTTATATATATAATCTATATAAATATAAGAAAAGAGAAGTATATGTTGAGAGGCCAAAAAAAACAGTTAGTTCTGTCAAATTTGAACAAAACAGGAAGCAATGTTGTATTTGGTATTGTTGAATAACATTTGTGACAAAATAAAATAAGTATAAATCAGTTCAAACATAAATACAACACTCACTTGTATATAAAGTATATTTAAGTGATGGCAAAATTCTAAATATATTTTCATTATCTTGTTTTTTTTTGTATATGGCTATTGTGTCGGGTTTTTTTATGTGTATGGACTGAACTGAAGCAGGAATAACTATTTACTGTATGTTACGATGGAAAAGGGTGGGATTTAATACGTTTTCAAACTTTATACTTCAGAACTAAAAAACTAAAAACTAAAGACAAAAGTATTTCCAAACAGAGGAAAAGTAAACGTACTTCTCTCTGTCTTTGGGGTTGATGGCCACGAACGCTCCTCGGTCCCAGATGGCTCCGAACTGACCTTCGAGGGAACTGCCACAGAAATAACATTATCTATACGTCTGTGTCAATAACATGTTTTTAAATTAAATCAGACAATGATGATTTAAAATGATTAAAGCAGGAGAATTGATGATGAAAAGGTTTTGTTCCAGGTCGTTGTAAAAAAAAATCGCACCTGGAGAATTTGTAGATATCACAGTTATAAAGTGAGACGCTTTTCTCTGAGTTCTGTAAAAACAAACAATGAAATAAATCAGTAGTTCACAAAAAGATCAAAACAAATATACTCAGACTCTCAGTTTTGTGGAAGAAAACAAGCACTCAGATCAAACCAATACAATTCTGAGAAAATTCACCCAAAAAAATATTGTGTTTAATCAGATTTATTAAAAGTAATTCATTTTAAGATTTTTTGCTTTACTCACTTTTAATAAGTGCTAAAACTGGTCATTATAACTGCAACTGAAACACAGCAAGAACCAGCTGCGAGAAGGTTCTACGAACATATTTTACTTTAGAATGTTCTGAAACAGCAGCGAGTCCAAAGTGCCTCTGAAACAGTTGTTTAAGTGTTTTACAATGTTTATTTTTCCTTGATTTTTTCTACCCGAGATGTTGCTGCAGTTCAGTGTTCATGGTTTTACACTGGTCCAGACCAGAGCAGAGAGGATTCATGGTTTTACACTGGTCCAGACCAGAGCAGAGAGGATTCATGGTCCGAACCAAGAGGATCAGGTGAAAATCCACTGGAGGAATACTAACTTATTGATAAACACTAACAAAGCTTTCAGCATTTTACTTTGGACCAGAGCAGAGAAAATGGTCTGAACCGAGCGGCTCCACTTCTGCTGTGACCTGAAGAACTGTTGCTGATTATTACTATTGTTAGCTTTTTAGAATTATCAAGTTAATTTTTTTTATTATTGCTGCTGCTGGACCCCTGAATGTCTCCTACAGGTATTAATAAAGTATTTATCTATATTTATGGAGTCAAAAAGATAATTTGTCAAAAATTATGACAAAGAAATAAACTACATATAGAAGAAAAAAAGTTCTAAAAAGTTAAAAAGTGACTTAAGTTCAGTAACTGCTGTTCCAAAGCTTCAGCTCACAGAGTACGTAGCTCCTCTCTCATTTACCCTGAACACTTTGGCTCCTGGGACGTTGGGCACCGGCTCCTCGCTGAAGCTCATGTTACTCTCCTCAAAAAACTGTCGAATTCCTTTTTCCGACTGCTCCACTCCGACCACAGAGTGACCCGAGTCCGAGAGCCTGAAACACACAAACACACCTTCAAATCCTGAATAATCACAGTACATCAGAAAGTGAAGATAAAATCCCTCAGTTTTCTGCACAAAGTCGACTGTTCCGGATTTTAGCTGCAACAATCTGAAACTCATGCTTAGTCCTGACTCTGGGCACCAGGAAAAATAGGCAAAAATAAAACGTTTTTTCCAGATTAAAGTTAAGAGCCTAATCTTTATCATTTGGCCTTTGGTGTTGAGTTAAATCACTGAATATTCTGAAAACACACATAACACACTTTACTGATCTGAAAAAAGTCTAGTCGTCAATGAGTCAATAATAAGGACAATTTCACCTTTAAACATAAATGTCTTTTTTTTTTATTAAGAAAACTATATTGTAAAAAAAATCATTTGAATAGACCAGATTTATCCCAATTAAAATCATGTTTCTCTTTGTCTCTTTTTGATGTGGGACTTGAAAACATGAACGTCTAAAAAATTTACACAGATATCATGGCATTGAAAACATATGGAGACAAGCAAACAACTCGATAAAATAATTAATTCCTTGTGTTTGCATATTGTGGGCTCCTTTGTGATATTGTACACAGACATGACGTATTTCAACCTAATAATGCATAATTTCTGTGAAAAAGGTTTTGGTTATAGATTTGTTGTTGACAAAACTCTTGTCTATTCAGCTGTTATGGTCCCAGCTGGATTCGTCTGCATATCTGGCAACCTGAGTCAGGGAGAGTGGGAGAGGCTGCAGTACCACCTTTGGCCACATCGATACATATGGCTCTTGTAAACCCACTGCACGGTTTGGGGTGCTCCAGATCAGAGAAGTGGACAAACTGGACCAATCAAAGAGTGTGTTTTCTGATACAAAGGTTGATCAAACTCACCATTTCATATCTACAGCTTTTCCACAAAGAGGAAAAAAAAACTTCACTCTAGTTCTTCCAGCGACGACTTTGTCAATGTTGTTTTCTAGCATCCTGTAAAACAGAGACAGTATATTCAGGCTTCAGGCAAAGTGGGGTTAAGTGTCTTGCCCAAGGACACAACGACAGCAGTCATCAGTAGGAGTCGTGAAGTAGGTCTTACGGTGGGATCGAACCCACGACCTTCAGGCTCTAAGGCCAATACTCAACCAACTGAGCCACTGTCGCCCCTGTGTGTTTTTCCCACATTATTTAAACTGTTTCTTTGTTTGTAAATTTTCCCTTTTCAAATCATGACATCAGAAAATGAATTAAACGCAGTAAAAAGGCAAATGAGCTAGTTTCTAATTTTTTTTTAATCAGAAAAAGCAAAAAAAATACATATCTCAATAATAAATACATAAGTAATTAAATGATGATTACAACATGACTACAGTTAAAGTGGCAATATGTAATGTGCCCTTATCTGTCAAAAGACATTAATAAAACATGCTCTCTTTCAACAGTAGTTCAGAGATATTTTAATTTCTAAATTGGATTTACAGACCCTAAATCTTGTTACTGTTTTCATTTATTTATTTATTGTTTCTAAATAGAAAATCTGTGATCCGGGCGCCAGAACTCACCGCGTGGAGCTAATCTCACTGGTAAAGTACCATGTGGCGCAGAACTAAAAAAGGTCTCGTTATGATTCTCAAATCATTAACGACAAAACAAGGAATAAAACCAGGATTTCTATCTTTGTCAAAAAAGTGTTGGTTATAGATTTGTTGTTGATAAAACTCTTGTCTATTCAGCTGTTATGGTCCCAGCTGGATTCGTCTGCATATCTGGCAACCTGAGTCAGGGAGAGTGGGAGAGGCTGCAGTACCACTTTTGGCCACATTTGTACATACTGCTCCTTTAAGTGAATATCTTGTTGACATAACCTGGGCTGTTTAAACCTGCGCCTACAGCACAGAGCTCTCACTTGTGGACCGCCAGTTGGTGGAAGCCGATCTTTTCTTGTTGCCATCGTTCTTCCCATTCTTCAAGCTGCATCACACGCTGTTCCTGAGCGGACAACATGCTCCTCTCCTGCTGAGACAGATACAAGAAAAGTAAGTAAAGAGCCCAACGGGAAACCCAAATGAGCGCCTCGTTCTGCTCTCTGATTGGATCATCTGCTTGAAAACCATACATTCGATTCAATGTATTCTTGTATAGCCCTAAATCACAACTGTAGTTTTCTCAGAGGACAGAATTCACCAACACAGATCAGAGAATTAAACACAAGAAATGCAATGATAAAAAAACACATTGGTATTGGTCCAAAAGAGGCAGATGACCGAAGTGTTGATAAATGTCCATCAATGTCCATAAATATTGCTAAAGATGCAGTTAGCAATGTTGCTAGCTTAGCCGTAGCACCAAGCACGTGCACAGAGGGGCTCGGCTCTGACCAATCAGAGCAGTTCATCAGAGCGGGAGTTAGAGCGAGAGCCAGAGGAGCAGAGTTTGTGGCACTAAAGTGTGGATTTAAACAAAACCGAAGGATTTAAGAAGAAAAAAAGTTCAGGATGACAAGAGACACTAAAATCCCCACAAAATCCGACCTTTATGAAAGCTGTAGGTTCTCTGTCAGGTTCTCTGTCAGCTGAGGTTGAGCTGTTTTAATATGCATTGAGTTTTGTGGGGAAAATTTCTGGGTAGCCCACGTGAATTTAGTCTGGTTCAGTCTGCAGTACCGCGAGAATCCCCCGAGCACATGAGTTATTCATCTACTAGCTAGTAACACCCTATCCAGTTATTATAATAGATCCATGACTGGAACCCACTCCCCCCTCTCCACCAAACCAAACATCCAGCATTTTCTTTTCTTTGTGAAAACAGGGAGAGTGGAGCAAACGTGAAATTGGCATTTTCTGTTCAGCCATTTTAGGTTTTAGAAAATCTAAATTAAAATTATCCGATAACTCAGGTGCTCTCACGAGAAACAGGAAGAGGGTGAAGGGGGTAAACACATTCCATTGGTTCGTTGGGGATGAACGAATCCCATTGGTTTATTTCTATCGGTCCGCTCCAAAATATTTTGTATTAATTTTTGGAGACTTTAGGCATCTGGTGTAACGTGGTTGACTCTGCGTTGTGTTGTGAGAAGAGTAACCGCCACGAGACAGGATAGTTTAAACATGTTCTTTATCTGTGCAACACACAAAATAGCTGGTCAGCCTTGGACCTGGGACACCACGAGCGAGCAGCGGCTAGTGGGGTATACATGTTAAAACGCTAACATTTCTATATGTACTCAACTACAGTCTTATTTAACTAAACATTGTCGTTTTTAAGTTTAAAAGCATTCCACAGCCGTACAATTGAAAAATAAACATACAAATGAAACTTTGGTAGACACCCAAATTTTGTGACCTGACCTCGGCTTGCTTATTGTCAAAATGGCACCGAGCACATTTTGTCCCCAAGACTTATAGGATTTGTCACCGCAAAAGGGCGCTGTTACATACCCCTCTGCTGAATTCCACTTGTCCCATAAAAAAAAAGCTAACAAAATAGACCAGCACTGCACAAGGTAGCAAAAAAAAACAGTGTTCAATACTTATATGTACAGGAAACTCATAACACTCAAATTCCCAACCGTACCAGTGAGGTAATTTCAAGCACCAACACAGCTACCAAACCCAGCAAAAAAACTCTCCCAGGGGGATCAGTGCGGGACCGGAATGGCCAAAACCCATCTACACACAAAGGGTAAATAGAATATACCCACCTACATATTCCGTCAAATGTAACTGCAGGTACACCTCAAAGTATACAAAACAATCACCAAAATGTTGCAAACTCTGCCAGAGAGAAAAAACCCACTAAAGTCAGACAAAAACCTTAAAGGGTTGAAACAGGCTTTTGGTGCATCATCTAAACAAGACAAGTCCCTGGTCTCAGTAAACGTCCAGCCCTAGATCTAGGGTCAGTTACTGCCTCAGCTGAAGTTTCAGCAGGAACATCAGTCATGTCAAAGTCAGGAGCCATAGTAGTCTCTAGGTCAGGGCATGGGACGGGGGCTTGTGGGAGGCTAGAGTCCATAGCACCACTCTCCAGCTCATTCAATGGGACAGCACACTCCAGAACACCATCCCCCACACTTGTCACACTGCCAGTAGCCGATGGTAGCCCAGACACCCACGCTCTGGTTCGAAACTCAGCTGACTTTGTGGATGCACCAGTGACTGCAGACCTACTGCGGTCCACTGAGCTCGACACGGGTGACAATACATCCCGTCTGGGTCATTTCAATCTGTTTCCTTCAAGAGCAAAAAATTAACTGCCACTATCAGATTGCGATGTACAACTTTAATCTGTCCACTTATCTGATTTTGAATCTTAAATATGTGGCTTTCATCATTCTTCTCTACCACCACATAGACTGTATTTTCCCAGCAATCAGCGAGCTTTCTTTTTCCCGTTCACCTTTGTTGGCCAATAACACACAATCATCCACCTCAACCGGAGCACCGCGCACCTTCTTATTGTATAGTTCAGTGTGTCGTTGAAGTTGCTTTGTTGCTGTCGACTGGGCCACTGCCATAGCCTCTCTCATGCTTTGCCGCAACGACTCAACATAGCGGTTGTAGTCCACAACCTCCGGATCATCGAGCACTGAGCCAAACATAACGTCCACTGGAAGTCGCGGGACTCTCCCAAACATGAGCTGGAATGGCGCATAGCCAGTTGTCTCGTGTATAGTGCATTTTAGAGCTTCAGGCCAACAATTTTTTGCTCTTGGTGGAAGCGCTTGTATCATATTCCCAAGAGTACGGTTCATCCTTTCACATGAGCCGTTACCCATGGGATGATAGGGAGTAGTTTGTGATTTCTGCACACCTGCAACCTGTAACAACTCCGCTATCAGGGCGCTCTCTTAACTCCCTGGTCTGAATGCAAATGTTTTGGAAATCCATAGACACTAAAGAAGTTATTCCACAGCTGATGGGCGACTGCTTTGGCTGACTGGTCAGTTTCCACTCCTGCCATTAATCTCAACAGTCTCTGTTCTGCATCACCCTCGCAGCTGAGCACTGAAGGGCACAGACCCTGGAAATCTAAAGTCTACTGATCACACACCGCGATAGGTTACTGCCAACAATTAGATCTTTGCTCTGGCCATTGACAACTAGGGTGGGGACAACGTTAGGCTGCAGTCATACATCTCCAGGTCGAGATTGCATACTCCCACAGGTAAAGTTCTAGACCCTCTTCATCCAATTAACACAACATCCGTATCCCGAAGGGTGGGGTCTATAACACCCTCCTGCGGCATCTGGGGGACTGGACTAGCACTTAGAGTACAGGCCAACCACTGTTCAGTAAAGCAGAGTCTTTTACCCTCCCGCTCAGTGTTAAAATCTCATGGAACAGTTCATCATGCTGCTGAAGCCTCTGAACGTTTTGAACTACAGGCGCGCGTCCCATTTCTCTTTCTTTGCAAACACTTTGATAAACTCCACTTCATCCCTCGCATTAAAATTAGGGGAATCACTTTTAGGCCCAAAGTTTGCCCCTCCCACATGCAGGCCAGCTAGTTTCCCTGCTGCTGCGCCGTAGACTTAACAGCACCAGGCTTACTGACAGCATTTGGGCATTCAGCACGCGTGTGGTCAGGTGCAAAACAGGTGAAGCACAGTCGGTTGGACCTGCAGTGATAGGGAGTAGTGTGGCAATCATCACCGCACACAGCACAGGCAGCAGGGGCATGACTTTGGAGGGCAGGCCGCGTGCATTGTACTTACTGACATATTTAGGCTACTGTGACTGATGAGAAAGTACACGTTCGAGGAGGGCAAGTACTCTGTCCAGACGGTCAGGTGAACCCTCTGCCAGCAGCGCAGAAGGCGGAGCCACAACAGCAGCTTGTGGTGGCTTTGCATTAGCAGAACTCTGGACAGGAGCAGCAACTTCCTGGCGCTGCAAACACAAGATGGTGTTTACTTTCTGCTTAGGTGCCTGTCTATGGTCTCGACAGTGCTCAACCTATCATGAATATCCGCTACAGTCCATTCTTGCAGTGGCCTGCACTTGAAAATGAGTGACAGTTCATTATTGGGACAGTTATGAATGAATATGGCTGCTAAATCACGTGACAGATAGTTAAATGTCTTATCTTGCCTTCTCAAAGAGTCCTCAGTCACCTCCAGGGCTCTGTTCAGCCTCAGCCAGTAGTCAATGGGTTTTCCTCCAGAGTGAGGTTTTGTCGTATAAAAGTCAGCTAATGGTAAACTAGAGGTCAGTGTGTCACTGAAGTGCTGTTTTAACATCTCAAAAATGGGCTCTGGGCCGTCAGTCAGGGTCAATACTCACTTACTACGTATGCCCACTCTGACTACATCCCGCGCCCTCCCCGTGAGCTTTGACAGCACCTCATCAGCTTGATCCGATACAGGAATTCCCTTTTTTTTTTCATATATGACAGCATCATAACCTCCCACTCCTGAACAGAACACCTTTTAAAACTCAAAGGCTCTTTAACGTCCTGGCGCACAATGACATTCAATAGGGACGGGTCATTTGCAGATGCCCCCACTGCATCTGGGACCCACAAGTGAGCAGCGGCTAGTGGGGTATACATGTTAAAACGTTAACATTTCTATATGTACTCAACTACAATCTTATTTAACTAAACATTGTCGTTTTTAAGTTTACAAGCATTCCACAGTCATACTATTGAAAAATAAACATACAAATGTAACTTTAGCAGACACACAAATTTTGTGACCTTACCGCGGCTTGCTTATCGTCAAATAGCGCTGAGCAAATTTTGTCCCCAAGACTTATAGGATTTGTCACCCCAAGCGGGCGCTGTTCCACCATAACACAGTCTATGACAAGTGGAATACAATACTTTTAACTCTGTTACACTGGTCAATTCCATTACTATTTATAAACACATGATAACTTGACTACGTTTAAGGCTTAGGGACGTTTTCCCAAAATATTTAAAGAAATGTGTCCGGAAAAAATCACTGACTGCATTTTTAAGTGCACCACTGAACTTGTATTAGACCCTCCTGCATTGGCAAAGAACAACAAAGTGAGAAACCTCTGGGAAGGTCCACATTAAGAGAGAGACAGTGGTAGATCTAGGACTCAGAAGAGGGGCTACAGAACAAGAAAGAATAATAATAAATAATCATAAGAATTGTAATGATAACAGGAAAAACTCTTATTCAGAAATAGTAAACTATGTGTTATCTGTAGACACATGTACAAGATGTAGACCAGGAGTGTACGAAGTGACCAAGTGGCTGCAGGTTTTTATTCCAACCAAGCAGGAGCACACACCAGACTCCACCCATTTCCTGAAGATGGAAACTAGACTGACTTGAGGAAAAAGGTGAAGTCTGGTGAAGTCTGTTTGGTTGGAAATTGGAATGAAAACCTGCAGCCACTCAACCTCTGATGGACATAGTGTAGTGTGTGTGTGTGTTGTGGTATGCTGTTATGTGTGTTGCTGGGCTGTCTTGAATAATAAAGTTGAAATGACATGACAAAATAACAATATGAACGTCAGCTGTATAGTACATTTGCAACACCAGCTGATCAAAGTGCTTGCACAAGAGAGAAAACAAAAAAATGCAAATAAGACACCGTTTAGTATCTTGTTTTGTTTCCTTGCAGAGAGTCATTTACAGAGAGAGATGACCTTTCTGACATAAAAGTGGACACAGAACCAATGAAAAAGCAGATCACAGAGACCGAAACAAGAGATGGTCACGTGTGCAATGACTTTGGTTTTGGTGTTGACATTTCTCCGGGTGTTGACACATGAAAAACTACTTACTTACAAAGGATGCGATGTTAAAATCACAGAAATCACAGAAAAGCCGCTGGAAAACAAACCCCAGTGTGATACTTTCACTGGGACCACGTGACTGCAGTGTAGTTTGTGTGGTAACTGCGGTTGCATCCAAATTCACAAAAGTACACCTACTTCGGTTATACTTCCTCCTTATTGACGCCCGTCTACTCAGATAACACGGTGATATTTCTGGTTAAGTACATTTAATAAAATATAATGTATGGTGAGATACTTTTGATTGCCATTAAGGTCAATGAAGAGGAATAAGGATGACGAGGAAGCGTGCGTTTAGTTTTGGATGCAGTCTCACTCTTACTCGCTTCTCTTCACGTACAGCGTGGCTCGTTACCGCCACCTTTTGGATCTGACGTGAATTATTTTCTATAACAAGTTGACGATCACTGAGGAGCTTGAGGTGAAAGGTAATAACAGAAGAAGTACAACAACGAATGTATGTAAAAGTTTTGGTTAATCTACTTTACTTCATAATCAGTCGTAGCATCGCTGTGGCCTGCAACCCTTATATCAATCAATCAATCAATCAAATTTTATTTATAAAGCGCTTTTCATACATAAGATGCAACACAAAGTGCTTTACAGTTTGGTTAAAAACAATCCCGCCGACCCAAGACCCCTCCCCCAGACCACCCAACAGACCCACCCCAAACCACAGACAAACACACACACGCGCTCACGAACACTCATACACACACACACACACACACACACACACACACACACACACACACACCAGTAAAACAATAAAAACATGATGAGAGACTTGGCAGGGTTCAGATGCAACCAGCTGAAAAAGCGTCATCCAAGGAGCCGTCTGCACCAGGAGCAGAGAGCCGCCTGTAGCCACAGGGGACGACACAGGACCCAGAGGAGACATGAAACCGAGGCCCCAGGCCCCCACCAGGCCCCAGAGTCCGACCCCCACAGCCACACCGACCACTGCTCCCGGTGCAGAGGGCTCCTCCAGAGGAAACACTGGGTACACTAAAAACAATACAATAAGTAAAACACTAAAATGTGAGACTAAAAGGAACACACAATACATGAATAATAGCAATATGCTTCTGCTAATGATATTTTGAACACTTTTTAGACCCAACTACACTGATATTCTACTTATTTTCTAATACTACAGCTGTTTATTGCCACTTATCAATCTTGTGTTGAGTCTTTCCTTTCATAAGATAAACATAGACATTTTCTTTCTTTATAGAGTATCTTTGTGTAATGTTCTTTGCAATACTGGCATTTCCCCCTGTCCACCACTAGGGGGCGTCTGAGTTATAACTAATCTATTCTAACCTTGTTGATAGATCATAAAATATATAGAGAAATTAATTTGCCTAGCAGCAGAAACACATCAACCATACAAACATAAAAAAATGTGTCTATAAGTTACTAAAAAAGCCATGGAGGGCACATGTTTAAGTGGCATTCTCTGATACTCCAGTGCTAGTATAACAACAACAACAACAACAATAATAATAATATTAATAGTAATAATTAAAACATCGTTATTTTGTAAAAACAGTGTTCACAAAGCAGTTAGCATAAAGCAATAGAGATTATTTTCTCTTTTGTAAAACACGTTTCTAAACTCGTCTCATGTAAGGATTCCACACATACTGTAAATATATTATTCCACATCTAGCTCCACCGTGAGAAAGGACAAAAAACAACTCACACATATTATACATACACTTACACATTTTGGCCACTAGATGGAGCCACGGTAACGGAAATGGCGGCGTTACCCATGGCAACGCTTCAAAGCTGTCAGTGGCGGGTGCCAGACAAAGACCATGGGGAGTCTGGGCCTAAACACGTGAAAATCACAGAAATTATGCAAACAATCAAAGTATAATCCACTCCGGCACAAAGGAAACGAGTGCAGACTGTTCGAATATGGACTCGTTCATAAAAATTATACCGTAATATTTGTATAAATCATAAGTTCTCTCTTATCTTGTATACATTGAGAGGTATGGAGCAGAGCCAGTCCAAATGTTTGCCTAGTAATCAGCTCTGTGTCATACTCTAATAGGGCTGCAGGCTGTTAAACACTTTAACTATAATTATAGAGCAATTTGCGAGTCTCACTCTTTTTCTAATTATGCCATGACGCGTGCGTGTGTTTCCTTCTGCTGCACAATAGGCTGTTTATGCGCTGGAAACTTGGCTTTTCAAACTAGGTCTCTGGGCGAATTCCCCACGGTGTACAGTAAATAAGAAACTTGACTTTCCACCAACATGACAGATTTTAATCATCAAGCCACAGCAGCGCTTAAAGCTGGGGTCCCTAACCTTCAAACCACATTCAGGTGTAAGATGTAAACAATCTACGTACCTGGATTTAAAGCAGTAACTAGTGCATGCATGTATTGTTTGGTATTAACCCACTCAGCCAATCAGCTCCCAGCCCACAGAGTCAAATAGTGACTCCAGACCACATTCAGATATAGGTATAACATCTAGAGGGTAAGGTTGTAAAACAGTCACTAGTTTTATAGATTTGTAGCATTGGTCAGAAAATGTAAAATAATAAGAATTACCCACTCAGTCCAATCAACTCTCAGCTCAAAGAGTCAAAAAGTGACTCACAAGGCCCTTCTCAAACATTCAGATGTCATAAGATAAGATAAGATAAACCTTTATTAGTCTCACAGTGGAGAAATTTCAGATGTTAAAAAATAGATAAATCCATGTTGCTATAGTATTGTATCTGTATCTAAAACAGTCACTAATTTTCACGTATTTTTGTGAACAAGAAACAACCAAGAGTCAAACAGTGACTCTTTGGGACTCACTGGGTTCTTTCTTACAGGTATGTAATAGATCAAATGTTTTATAATCATAATAAAACATGTTGTGGTTTGATATAAGACTCTTTCTGTTGGGTTTTTATAATAAAGAAGAGGTTGATTCCCCGGTTTTAACACTATTAAAACTTCCAGAGCCCTCATTCATAATTCTCACGTTATGAAAACAAAAAGGGGAAGACCAAGAAAGTACATATGCTGAGTAATTACAGTACCAAAACAACAAAACCCGTCAAATTAACTGCTGTGGGAGTCCTGGCGTAAAACAGCCGACACACGCACGCCTTGCTCCCGTGCGTAAAACACCCGTCCATCCCACCACCAGCCCTGTCTATCCCCTCTCTCCCAGATGTGAGAGCTGCGATCACGGCGAGGCGAGACGTCGGAGCTCCGGGAGAACCAATCCCCTTTGCCCAGAGGCGGGCCGAGCGGAGCTGAGCCGAGCCGAGTGCGTGTGCGTGTGCGTGCGTGAGGGCGTGCGTGCTGTTGTGTGGAGATGGAAAAATCATGGACAGTTTCCTAGGCACACAGAAGCGAACGGAGGATCCTGGCTATTCTCTTTACGCTGACGTGAAGAGGCGAGCGCGCGTTTGATGGGAGCTGGTGGAAAGAGGTTAGTGGAGACTCCAGAAACCTTTACGGATCAGATCTGCGCCTTGTCTGTGTCTGTGTGTGTGTGCGTGTGAAAGCCACCAGCTGTCTATACCTCACACTTGTCACATAATGAATGGTTTGTTTGCTCTGGAGACGCGAGCACTCTTGGTTATGGCGTTATGGGACGTCTGGAATCTATCG